CTTGAGCTCTGGCAGCCTTGGGGCAGCTTCCCTGGAGGCCTGAAGGAACTGAAGCCTGTGGAATTCTGGGATAACAGTGCTGTTTCCTCAGTCAGTCCCACTCCCTGCTCCAGCAGTGCTCCTGACTGACTCCCAGAAGCCCAAAGCCTCACGCTGACCTGAGGATGCTGAGAGTGTAGGTTTGACAACAGCAGCCTTGTGCTCTATGGAGGGGTGTTGGGTTTGACCCATTTCTATCCAAATGAAGCTGGACATTCTGTCAGCCTGTCCTCACGTGGCAGCAGGACTGGAAGCTCAGGCTGAGCAGCTGAGTGCCTGCTCTTACTTACCTGTGTAACACACCTGGACAGGACGGGCACAATCTGCTGCTTCAGAAATTCCTGGGGTTTGGCTTGTTCCCACGGGCAGGCAAACGCGTTCCCACAGCTCAGAGCTCTCTGGGAGGCCTGGAGTTGGGGGTCTGGGTGTGGCTCCCAGCCCTCTGGGCTCCCCAGGGTGTCAGTCCCTGGGGAGAGGTACCTGTGCAAAGCCCCAGGGATTGCTCTGTGCCCAGCAGGGACACGAGGAGATACTGAAGGGAGGAAAACTCACTCAAAATATCAAATCTTTGCACAGGCAGCACTGGAAGGAGTGTACAGAGCTTGCATTTGTTTGGGGATTGTTCAGCTGTTTGTGTTTCCTGCAGCAGTTCCAATGATGGCTTTATTGCTAATTAACCCTAGGATTAGTGTGTAACTGATTTAATTGCTGCATTTCATCTTTCACAAGAGCAAATACAAATACCTCCTGCATTCCTGGGCAAGTTTCTGTTAAAACTCTTAATTACTGCTCAAGTGGCTTGGGTGGTCTTTCTAATGTTTAATATCCCAGCATTGCCTCTTTTCTAACAGTTAATTATTTTCATAGTGAACTACTGAATGCCACATGCATTAGAGGAACAAAATTAAAAGACAGTGACCTGACAGAGGGGGGGGAAAAGGGGGAAAAGCTTCTCCTTCCAAACCTGGGAGAAGGCACAGAGGGGGCCAAACTCATGGATTGTGAATTCCATGGCTAGTCCTGCTCTGGAATAAGCTCCTCAGTTGGCTCTGGGATATTTGACTGCAGAGTAGGGAGCTTCAAACCAGGGCTAAATAAAGTGTTTTTCTGTCAGGATACCCTGTCCCTTCCTTCCATGCAACAGATTTTGGTGTTTTTTTCAGATTATCTGCTTATCCTGGAGCAACATGGACACTCTGGCAGCTGAATCTGCTTTCAGCTGGTGGCAATACCTACAAATACCTCATCTCCTGTACCTTGGCAGTGTTCCCAAAGCAATACTGGAATATTTTCCCTTGGGCTCAGGAGTTTGTTTCTACCTAAACATTTCACAAAGGCTGTCACAGAATAGTCTGAATTGGAAGGGACCCACAGGGATCATCGAGTCCAGCTCCTGAGTGGCCCCTACAGGGATCAAACCCACCCCCTTGGTGTTATTAGCACCAGGCTCTAACCCCACACAGTCCTAAGAAAGGATTCCCCTTCCACAAGCTGGTACCTACTGCCAGTAAAAACTGATTTTCTAACTCCTGATACCCCAAGCTCGAGGCCCAGAGGACATTTCAGGGATCCCCTTCCCCATCTGCACCCCCAGCCCCATCTGCTCCCAGATCTGCCAGTTCCTTCTTAAAAATGCCCCTGAAGGGGATTTCAGGTGCCTCAGTTTCCCTCCTACACTCACTTTTATACTTCATTTTCAATCAAGAAGCTGTATTTCAGGACAAGTTTTTGGTTAGAACAGAATGAGTTGGGCTGGGTTGTGAGGTTTTGGGGTGGTTTTTCCAGAAAAAAGACGATTTATGCATTACAGAAAACAGTGTAGGTTTGATCAATACTGGGAACTGGAACTTTTTTGATCTGTTTGTGCAAGATTGCAGGAAATAACACCGACAGCAGAGCGAGGTATTCCTTAAGTGTGAGCCCAGAGGAGACAATGTTACACCACCAAGCCCCAAACCAGTCCCTGGGGAGCTGGAATGCCTTGAGGGCAATGGAAGCTCAGCACTGATCAAATAAAAGACACCTCCACTCTCCTGGATCATAAGTCTCTCTGAACAAAGCAAATGTAACCCAGCACCTCCAGGCACACCCGGCTCTTGGGAGTTATTTGCAGTTTCTACCCCTGAGTCTGGACAACTTGAACCCCATTGTGGGGGTCTTGGGGTTCCCTCTCATCTGCAACACCTCTCACATCCATCCACTCCTGCTGCTTTCCAAATGAGGGAGTTTGAAACCAATGAGTGAGCCCTGATATAAAAAGGAAAAAAGATAATAAGTAATAACCAACTGTGTGGAGTTTGACAAGGGTAAGTGCCAGATCCTGCCCCTGGGACGGGCAGTGTTGGATGCAGGGACAGACTGGGGAACAAGGGGCTGGGGAACAGCACCAGGGGAAGGGCCCTGGGGGTCCTGGTCAGTGGCAGGTTGGATCTCAGTCAGCAGAGTGTCCTGGCAGCCCAAAGGGCCACCCTGTCCTGGGGGGCATCAGGCCCAGCATCGCCAGGGAGGGGATTGTCCAACCCTGCTCTGACCTGGGGCGGCCTCACCTCGAGTCCTGGGGGCTGTTTGGGGGCCACAGTGTCAGAAACATCTAATCAATGTCAGAAGGATGTTGGAGAGTGTCCAAAAGAAGCACACGGGGATGGGGAAGGGTCTGAGGAGCAGCTGAGGGCACTCGGCTGGTTCAGCTGGAGCAGAGGAGACTGAGGGGAGACTCCTCGGGGGCTGCAGCTCCTGCCCAGGGGAGGCGGAGGGGCAGGGACTGAGCTCTGCTCTGGGACCAGGGACAGGACCCAGGGAAGGGCTGGAGCTGTGCCAGGGGGTTGGGATGGATCTCAGGGAAAGGTTCTTCCCCCACAGGGTGCTGGGGCACTGCCCAGGCTCCCCAGGGCAGTGGGCACGGCCCCAAGGCTGCCAGAGCTCCAGGAGGGTTTGGACAACGCTCTGAGGGACAGGGTGGGATTGTTGGGGTGTCCTGGGCAGGGCAGGAGTTGGACTGGATGGACCTTGTGGGTTCCTTCCCACTCAGGATATCCCAGGATTCTAACTTAATCTACCACCAGCTGTGGACTGGAGGAAGCACTGGCAGTTCACACAGACTGAGTTTGATGTCAGCCCAGAGCAGTGGCTGGAGCTGAGCTCATTGCAATGATCCCAGCGGGTTCCAGGCGCGCTCCCATGGACACCACTGCTCTGAAGTCTGATGCTGATCCCTTCCCAACTCTCCTCCGAGCAGGATTCTTACCAAAAATCTAATGCATCATCCATTCATTAAAGGAAAACTGATTCCCCTGACTTGCCTTGGGAAGGGGGCTGCCTTGTGGTGCTTGGTGTTTTCCAGCATGTGGATACTGGAATGGTGAGGAATACGAGCTGCCAGGATTCGGGTTCTGGGTGGCACTTCATTCCCAAAGCTGGATTCCAGGTGGATGTTCCCCGGCAGCGGGAGGCAGACACCCCTCCCAGGGCTTCCACCATGGGTCATGTGGCCCTGCTTGGTTTATACCTTTTTCTGGAAAACTTTTCACTGCGTTGTCTTCACTCCAGCTCCTCCAGAGCAGATTTCCCCCCCTTTCATGGGAGGGTGTTTGAGGGGTTTTTGTGCGTGGCTCGCTCTTCAGACCCTGTCCCGGAGCGGGGCTGTGGCCGCTGGACAGAGCTGAACGGCCCCGGCAAAGCCCCTCGGGGGCCGCCCCGCCGCCAGTGACGGTTCTCCCCGGCGGGGTCCCGGCGGGTCCGTGTCCCCAGTCGGGTCCGTGTCCCCCGGGGGGGTCTGTGTGCCCGGGCTGTGGGCGGGG